CAGACCACCTAGGCCCAGTGTTCAAATCTTTGGAAGCTGACTGTAAAGGACAAGATGCCAAAAGAACTTACCAAAAAACTGGTAAGTTTGCCAAGGGCAGTGGCACTGTGAAGAAATGTTGAGTTGGGTGATTACAAAGGCATCCCCACACACCACTTGCTTTGCTTGGGCCAAAAAAAGTCCATGGTGCATAGCTTATCTTTTATAGTTTTGCTAGTCAAGCACAGTCTAGTGCAAGTTTTTTTGGTCAGCCTTTGAGGGCTTTCATTTGGATGTGGCCATTAGCCTTCAGGGCTATTGTTTTGTGTGCCAAATTTGTGCTGGACTCCAGAAATGCCATGCTTGATTTTGTAATTGGTGGGGCAAGTTGGTGAATCAATGCAATGTCTTTCCCAGCCTTCCAGGCTCACATGCTGATGACAACAATGCAGCACTGTGTTGTGTCACAATGCTATGAAAGCAATTGTGTGCTCCAAGCCCAAATGTTGGATCTTGTACACTTTGGGTTTTGCTAGCTGCCTTGAAGCCATGGCACTTTGTCATAAGGCTGAGCAGAAAGTGAAAGAACTGCTTAGCCCTTCTTGCCCCCTGCCCATCAACAGTAGGCTCCAGCAGTTGCTGGCCATCCTTGAAGAGAACAGATTGCTCTACACAACTGTGATATGCCCATCCTCCATGATTTGCCACCCCCAGAACAGAGCAGGCAGCATGATCAATGCCTTCAACTGTCATCAAAAGGGAGCAAACATCATCGCAGGTGGGGTGAAGCCTGAGCTGTTGCCACCAAACTCATTGGCTGTGGAGATGGCCTTGGAGTCTTCAGCCAAATCTTTCCAAATTGCAGCCAATAAGAAAATGATCTTGGAAGCCAAAGGCCTGTTGGCACCATTGAGAGGTGATGAGAGATTTTGCACCCTTGCCAACTCACATTTTGCGCAGTGGGCAAGGGCTCTAGATCATGGATGCCAAGGGCCTGATGGGAACCAGCTCACACCACCTTTGGATATGAAACCCTTGTTGGGCAATGGGTGGTCCTGGAAGGTGATTTCCAGTGAAGCAGAGAGATTGTTTCCTACTCTCCCAGCTTTTGCTGCCATGGCTATGAACAGCCACAACAGCACTCAGATTGCCAGCAATGAGCTGGAGTGCATGATGCAGTTGGGTGAGCTCTACTCTGGTGGCATGAAGCTTGATGATGCTGTGAAAACAGTGCAGAACAGTGCACCAGCTTGTAAGAAGTACTTGGATGATGTGGGGTACTTCTGCAAGATGTACACTGGGGAGGAATCCTTCCCACTTTTGAAATGCTTGGACACTTTCTGTACCTTGTCATTCCCTATTTGCTTTGTTTGTGTGAAAAACACATGATTGTTTGCAGCCCAAAAGTTGTGTTGTGAAAGGTGCCCAATTGGAGCCACACCTTCACCACAGCCCACCTTAGGTAAAAGAAATTGCCATTCATTGCTCATTGGGGAAGAGATGATGAACCACTTGGCCTGGTACGATTTCAAGATCCCAGGGAGGACCATGGCTTTGACCAGAATCAGTTTAGCTGCAGCCATGCTTAGCAGCAAGAGGCACCAAGATGGGATCTCAAGGTTGATCTACAAGAGTGACTTTGACAAGCTCAAGGGCAAGGAGACTACAAAAAGTCTTGATGAAATGTTGACAACACTTTGGGATGAAGCCAGCAAACATGACCCTGACTTGGGCCACATGTGCTGGTGCGCTGCTGCAGTGAGGATGGTTCTTCACATCCTTGGGAAGGAAAAAATGGCAAAGCAAGATACCTTTGAGTCATTTGCTGCAATAGTGGAGCTTTTCTCTGAAGATCTCAAAGCAGGCCCTGTGGCCTTGCCAGCCAAGCCTGTGCCAAAGGCACCTGCTGAGAGTTCTTCTGGATCAAGTGTCAAAGACATGCTGAAAGCTTCCAACTCAGAAGTTGCATTGTTCCAAAACAGTCACATCAAGGTTGGTGACAAGTACCTAGTTTGCAATTTGTTGCTTTTTTGTAAAGCAGAGTTGTGCTAAGGGTTCTTGTAGTGCAGGCTACAATCTACAACAAGTGTTTATTCAATCACCTCCCAGGTACTCACACAGTGATCACCCTGACAAAGTGTTCATCCTGGCAGATCTCAATGACACAGAGGCCACCTTTGAGCATCGACCTTTGTTTGACTCTGCTGAGCAAGTGAAGGAGAAGCTGGATTCTTTGAAGAAGTGGAAGCCCACCAAGAAGGAGCCCACCATGATGTGCCCTCAGCATATTGCACTTCAAGGCTGCCACACAATGTGGACATTGTGAAGAAGGAAATTGACAAAACCATGGCAACACATCTGCTGATGCAGGCCTACATGAGCCACAAGGTTGCTGATGAGTCTTTGCTGGGCTTTGCTGTCCACCCATCCAATTTGTTTCTTCTGAAAAAGATCAAGAAGAAGGACTTGAAGCTCTACCCCTTTGGCAATTGTCTACCTGTAGCTGAGAAAGATCAAACCAAGGTCTTTGAGAACACCAAGAATGTGCTTGTGTGGTTCAAGGACAGGCCGTACCTTGTTCAGCCCTTCAAGAATTTGAGCAGCTTCACCAAACCTGAAGCTGGCACCCTGTGCCCTTACTTTTGGGTCAAGAGCTCTGAGGAGGAGGAAGAGATCAATCTACAGACTGTTTGGGTCAACTTCCAGGGGTTGCAGATCCCAACCTTGCAGAATGAAGATGCCATTCCAGAGCACTCAGTGCTTTTGAAGTCTTCTGAGCAACAGCCTCATGAGCCACCAGCCAAAAAGGCTAGATCTTCTTAGGTGCATGAAGTTCACTGGACAAAGCTGTGTGTGGAAAAAACAAAACACTTGCAACTGTAGCTTGTGTAGCGCAAATTGTAGCCATTCAAGTGAGTCAATGGTGTTTCATTGTACCCTTAGGAAATGTTATTTCAAAGACTAATCAACCTTGTTACATATTTTCTACATGCAGCCTGTAGGGCTTTTGTTTATTGTTTGCTTTAGCCTCCAGGGCTTTCATTTTGATGCTCCAAGACTTTCATTTCAAACATGTTTTTATTGGTCGCCATTTGCCAGTGACAGCTCTTATTGTTTTGGACTGGTTTGGAACCCATTGGCTCTCTCAACTGCAGCTCAGCAGGATAG